CAGTGGAGTGCTGGGTGCTTGCAGTGCGTCTAGTAAGATTAACTTCAAGCTTTCCTTCATCTGTCTTGCAATAGTCACAATAGCGGGTCCATCACCGAAATTGTAGGGTGAAGGAAGGAAAGTTCTTCCACTGTACCTATATACAAAGCATGTCCTCAGCACTGCTCCCAATGCCACTCAAGTGATTCAAGTTAATACCTGAATAAAGAAGTATAATTTCTTTAAATTGACAACTATTGGACTGAATAATAAAATGATTGAAAAGGAATGATAAAGATTGGAAAGCATGGGGCTGGAGAGATAGCACAGCGGGTAGGGTGTTTGCCTTGCACACGGCCGACCCGGGTTTGATTCCCAGCATCCCATATGGTCCCCTGACCATCACCAGGAGTAGCTCCTGAGTGCAGCGCCAGGAGTAACCCCTGTGCATCGCTGGGTGTGACCCAAAAAGAAAAAAAAATTAAAGCAGTAATAGGGAATTAAATGTGGAAATTAATCTAACATCAACAAAAGGAGATAAGAAAGCATCAAGTGAAGTACATAAATTATCGTAAAATGGAAGATGAAATTAAAGCAGAAGCCATAGTAAAATTAAAATTAGAACATTTAAAAAAATGGGCTTAGTATAACCACAGGGCAGGGAAAGGTTAAGACAAATACGACTTATCTTAGAGCTAGTTTCTAGAAAAGAAGTATTAACCGTCAGGTATTTGAATACAAAATGAGAATCAATAAACTTAGCAGGAAAGGAGGATAATTGAGATGTGGAGTCCAGCGAACGCTGAGCTCCGCGTGTCCTAGTTCTGCTCCAGCGCGGCACGATTTACATCAGAAACAATGCCGCCCTCTAGCGGCCAGCAGAGACGCTCTTTCCTTGAATATATGGTCACCTCTTGAATTGGTTAACAATACTATTATATTGCTCGAGCGGGCCCAGTAACGTCTCCATTGGAGACTTTGTTGTTACTGTGTCTGGCATATCGAATACTCTCGGTAGCTTGCCGGGCTCTCCGAGAGGGGCGGAGGAATCGAACTCGGGTCGGCCATGTTGGCCACGTGTAAGGCGAACGCCCTACCCGCTGTGCTATCGCTCCAGCCAGAATGATTTGGGAGAATCAATTTTTCCAGGTATGTCCTATTATAGAATAATTTATCTAATATTTCTCCAGAGAATACTCACTACTATATATTTGGTTTATGACCATGAGAAAAGCACAAAATGAATTATACCTTACTCCACACTCTAAGATGTCTTCCCTTTTTTTTTTTTTGTTTTTGAGATTGTTCATCACTCTCTGGATTTTCCAAGTTCTTCGTTAATTTTGAACCCCAAGTTACTCATTTGTAGTTAGAACTAGCCAACTGTCAGTTACTCGTTTCTTGTGCCAGAGAATCTGTGAAATAACTCCAATCCAATTCCCTTCACCATGCCAAAATCATTAATCATATCTACAGAAGAAAGTTTGTATGCAACATTTTACACAATCTGTATTCCTCATTGTTTTTATAACCTTTTATCCTAAATGATTTTAAAACTTAAAAGTTGCAAGTTTAGTATGAAATTTATTTTTTAATTTGGAGGGAGCGGGCATAAGCTACGACCAACAGATCCTGGCTCTGTGTGCAGGGTTATGACAGACAGTAGTTAGGGACCATACCTGGTGCTGAGGAAGAAAATGGGGTTAGCTCTGCATAAGGCAAGTGCCTAAACCCATATAAGGTCTCTCCAGACCCTAAAAGCTTCTATTCTTAACCCATAACCTTCTCTTGTTGTCACTTACAATATTTTATTTATTCTCTTTAGAAACAATGATAGAATTCTGTTCTGAATCACTTGAGAATAAATTAAACTATAAGTTGAATCCATATGGAATGAAGCACCATATTTCTCCATAATATGTAATATTACTTTTAAAATCTTAGAAATATATACTTATTAATTCTGTAATTCTACTTGGAGGTGAATACTAATAAAGATAAAAACATTTTAATTACAAGACCCAATGCCAGCAATATTTATCATACAGAACAACTTGGGATACTTTTTTGTTTGTTTTTGTATGGAGGGGGGGGCCACACCTAGTGGTACTCAGGGCTTTACCCTGGCTCTGCACTCAGGAATCAACGCCTGGCAGAACTGGGGGACCATATGTAGCAGTGGATCTCAAACCCAGGTTAGCCACATGCAAGGCAAGTTTCCTCCCCACTGTCCTATCTTCCTAGCCCACAATTAAACAACTGGGAACATCCTGTTTGTTCAATCATAAGAATCTGGCTGAGTAAATTATATAGTACAAATTTATATATTACTTTCAAATTCCCTCCTGCCTGCCACTTACCACTGGCTTCTCTAGTCATGAAGAGAAAGCTCAAAGTTTTTTATATGTCTGTTTCTGTAGACTGTATCACCCAGACTAACAAAAGCATCCTTAGATACCTCCACCACACTGGCCTTGATGAACATGGGTTTTCCCACCTCCCCCCTTCCCCAAATATCAAAGGAGTCACTATCACATATGGAGACTCTACAAGTCCCCAGGGGTAAACACTTCCTCTGAATTCCTAAGATGCATGTGACTCACTTCCTCCCAGGCAGCAGAAAAGAGCCCCTGGCTTCTTCAGGAAGCTCAGTGTAAACAAACTACCAGCTAATATAATCAGAATCCTTCAGATAGGTTGGCAAAATAACCTATTTCAGAGAAAAAAAGCCAATTCTCTAAAATTATAAGTATTCTTGAGAACTACAGGTGAAGGTCAGATATATTCTCTGTAACATCACAAAAAGATTCCTTGGGAGGGCTGGAGATAGCACAGCGGGTAGGGCATTTTCCTTGTAAGTGGTCAACCCGGGTTCGATTCCCAGCATCCCATATGGTCCCCAAGCACCACCAGGAGTAATTCCTGATTGCATGAGTCAGGAGTAATCCCTGTGCATCACTGGATGTGACCCAAAAAGCAAAAAATAAAATAAAATAAAATAAAATAAAAAAAGATTTCTAGGATAAAAACATGTAGTCTTCAGAAATTGTATCCTTTTCCTCTCACATAATTGCTTACATTTTTTCTTATATATTTTTTCTTATATATATATTTCTTATATATGATTGCCTTCCTCAGCAAAAAAAGGAAAACAAATTATGAATCAACTTTCTGAAGATTATTTTACTTTGATAAATCAGATTGAGAAATTCTGACCTAAAAATAAATATAAGATTTCAAATAGCGAGTGCTTGGAATAATTACATTTCTTACACAAATATATGAATAGTGATATTTATATAGCACTTACAAAATAAAAAGGTGTAAAGTTCATTATAAAACTTACTATCACAAACATTTTATGAAATGGAAAAATTGTGAGAATCAGGACAGAAACACTCCAAAGTACAGTGTTTAGTTAAAAAGATGACAGAGTTCATGCCAAAGACGATATTTGTCAGGGAGAAGGGGCTTGAAAATTTATTGTCTCTTGTATTGCAAGTGATAATACAAAACATCTGTATTGTCCCTTGCTTCTTCCAAGGAGTATATGAGATACCACACACACACATACACACACACACAATTAACTTTATTGAGTTTATTTATATATGATCCAAACAGATTGCGCTTAAGAAATGAGGGAAGGGGACTGAGTGATAATATAGGGGCAGGGCATTTGCCTTGCACACAGCCGACCTGGGTTCAATCCCCAGCATCCCATATGGTCCCCCAAGCACTGCCAGGAGTAAATCTTGAGTGCAAAGATAGGAATAAGCTCGGAGCATCACTGGCTGTGACCCAAAGAAGAAAAAAAAAAAAACAAGAAAGAAACAAATGAGGGAAGGACACAAGAGATTTAGCTGATCTACACAAAGAGAAAGAAAAAAGCAACAAGTCTTTCCAATTGATGACCATTTTATTAGGGAAAGTTGGCTTATTAACAGACAAAAATATACCTACAAGAGCAATTGTGACAGATGCAGTCAGTTTGCAGTGTGTGTGAGACTGGAGAGGGTCAGTGTGATGCTGGAGCACCTCACAGCTCATACCTCCTTGGTGGGCCACACTGCTCAGCTTGGACCCCGCCCTCCCTGCACAGGGCTGGCTGCCCCCACCTGCCTTCTCCTCTGTCCATCTCACTTCTGGACCAGAATTCACATGTCTTTTCTTTCTTTTCTGAGAAAGGATGATACAGCCCAAGCCAAAAATACACCTGGGCAAGGGCAGAACAAGGACAAAAGAATAAAACATCACCTTTGGAATAGATTTGGCATGAATTAACAATGCCAATAAATCTGGGTAGGTAAAGAAGCTGATTGTGGCATTCTCAGAAAAGACTGTGGGAAGGGGACTCTGGATAAATCCCCAAAAGAGGCAGGTGCTATATAACCACTGTAATATCTGTGAGGACCTGGAGTATGCCCCCTTTATATTTTGAACAGAAATTTATTCTTTCAAAGGAGTACAGACCCTCCAAATTAAAGCATGAAAAAGCAACACTGACTGTTTCATTAAATTGGGATGTGGAAGGAAATAAACTACCCCTTTATTTTCTTCTCACCCTGATTTTTTCTAACGTTTAAAAAAAAAGACAGCCATGGGGCTGGAGTGATAGCACAGTGGGTAGGGCGTTTTCCTTGCACACAGCCAACCCAGGTTCAATTCCCGGTATCCCATATGGCCCCCTGAGCACCGCCAGGAGGGACCTCTGAGTATCACTGGGTGTGACTCAAAAAGCAAAAAAAAAAAACAAAACAAAACAAAAAAAAAAAACAAAAAAAAACCCAGCCAGATTGGTGTTGCTTTTGATAACTCACAGCTGAAATCAGAGATTTCTGAGGACACGAAGAGAAAGGGAATGACGTCGTCCCTAGAGCCGGGGGGGTCAGGGGAGGAACGGGATGCCGACAGGAGGGTCTCCATGCTCCCCAGACTCAGCCATCGAAGCCACAGTGTCTGTAATTTGCACATGAAGTGAGAGGCGTGGACGGTGGTCGGTGGTCGAACAGCGGCCCAAGCTAGGACCAGGGCCACACGCTGAACAACATGAGGCACAGGTGCATCAGGAGGAAGCCGCGCCTGCGCGTCGCCAAGGAGGAGGAGGAAGAGGAGGAGGAGGAGGAGGAGGAGTAAGGTACTTCACACACTGGAGGTGCTGCTTTGTAGGGCCTTTCTATGTCTGGAGGGGATGCTGTCATTCCTTGAATCTGGAGGGAAAGAGCAGATACAGTGAATGAGGGTCTGGTTCCTGGGCAGCGTGGTGGTCTTGAGGTTAAGGATCCGAAGATAGGGTGTAGCTGCTGGATGAGTCCAATGTCACTTGAGGGGGGGGGAGTCGGTTTCAGAGGGAGGTGGAAAGGGGAACAATTGTTGGAGTCCTCCCTGGCAGGACCCCTTGACCCCTAGAGGTGGCTGGACCCACTCCCATCTTCTCTGTAAATTTCTGGCATTTCTAAGAATTTCGTAGATTAATTGGTCTTGATTTGCTTCTCTAAACTTGCTCGGATTGGGACTGGGGCCTCCTCCACCCAGATTCCCCATCTTCCAGGCGTTAGACCCACCAACTACCCCTGGCGCCGTATAATCCCATCAATGGCCAAGATCCAGAGACTATAAAACCCTGCTCCCGGAAGCACGCAACATCTTATTTTCTGGGTCTTACTATGGAGAACCTGGCAGGCTATCAAAAATATCCTCCTCACACGCAGAGTCTGGCAAACTCCCCGTGGCGTAATTAATATGGCAAAAACCAGTAACAATGATGGGTCTCATTCTCCTGACCCTGAAAGAGCCTCGAATTTGGCACTTTTTAAAATCTCAGGGTTAGAATGAAGGAGACGTTACTGGGGCCTGCTCGAGGCAATCAATGATCAACAGGATGACAGTGATACAGTGATTTGCTTAGGCCCATGGCTTGAGATGTGAAAACACACATCTTGGGGTGTCAGCAATATTTCCACCTTGCCTTGGCCTTAAAGCACCGAGAACAGTGCTCCAGCAACTTCTTCCTAGTCATAATATTACCCCGCTTACCCCGCTTTCCCCCATCACCTGCTCATTAGTGCATGTAAGCACATTCTCTCAGCTTCTATCTAACCATACTTTGGTCTTGATTTGCTTCTCCTAATAAATTTTGTCATATGACTAAGATTATCTGGCCTGTGTGGGTGGCCATGTCTCGAGCATCTGTTGCCCTAGACTTACACACCGACCATCTCCTCATTCCCAGGGTCTTCGTAGTTACGAGATAATGACAGATAATACTCCTTTGAGAGGAAGTGCTCCACAAAACAGGAACTTCTAATTTGCTCCTGCTTCACTCAATTCTATTTCTAAAGCAAATTTAGTCTTCAAAAAGAAGTGGATTTCAAAATTATCAGTCAACTCTAACCATCATTGAATGCATTATGAGACCCATCCAAAAACAAGCAGATGGGGGCTGGAGCGATAGCACAGCAGGCAGGGCGTTTGCCTTGCATGCGGCCAACCCAGGTTCAATTCCCAGCATCCCATATGGTCCTCTGAGCACCGCCAGGAGTAATTCCTGAGTGCATGAGCCAGGAGTAACCCCTGTGCATTGCTGGGTGTGACCCCCCGAAAGTAGCAACAACAACAAAACAAAACAAAACAGAGCAAAAAAAAATCAAGCAGATTCTTGATTTACAAATATGTGTCCCCTTCCCAGCTTTGTCACGGAGTCAGGCAGTAGCTCCCTTAGGGTTTCACAGAAGCCTCTGATGCAGTAGGACTTACCGACCACTCTGCATTGTCAGTCTTGGAGCATCTCACGTTCACAGGCAGGTTGAGGACAAGTTTATTGAAGGCGACACCTTCTTTTCTAGTCCATTTGAATTTATTCATTGCATCCATGAAAGTCAGGTTTCTATATTGCTTGGGGCTTTTTATAATAAAAGGCCAGGTCCTGAGTTTAAGAGGAATAACAAGTTTTCAGAAAAAATAAAGCATACCATGTGTTTATACCTTTTCAACAACCTTGTTTGTTTGTGTACATAGGTTGTCTACTGCAAAGCATTCATGAACTCTCTAGCAGTGACAAGTTATAGTGCATAGCACATAAAAAGTCTCTAAAATACAAACCCCTGTTTCAGTAACTGGAGTATTCCTCTTAGACAAACAGTTTTGACTCCAGAGCTTAAAATTCCTCACTCAATCTATTTTGGTTCTAGTTAATAGAACGGATAAGTATTATAAGTATTCAGTTATGAAGAATTGTAATGGCTCTGGCAAAATAAACAATAAAGCATCTTCATGCATGGTACTGCAACAGAGATGGCAATTTAAATTTTACACTGTTTAAAATCTGACCTCTGCTGCCTGCTCTGTTTTGGTTTGCCTAGGTGACAAAAATAGAAATGATCTAAAAATGAACCACTGTTCTGTTTCTTTTTACTGAAAAATAAACAGGGTAAAGACATTTGCTGTTTCCACTTGCTGCTCAAAAAAATCACACATAACAGGTCAAAAACTAGAGAAAAATTCAGAAGCATCTTGAAGGTCCAAGGACCTTCTGGTATGTTATCAAGGGTAGCCAGTCGATATTTGGCTCCCATGAAAACACACGAAGATGTTGTGGTGATTTTCAGTTATTACTAGCTAATTTAACCTCCTGCTTAGAAATTCCCACTCCTAATCTTCACAGTTTCATCATTTACTTAAATCACTATTCTCTTTTATACACCCAATTTACTCAGCTATAGCAAATGCTGTCTTTAAATACATGTTAGTGAGAAATGACTTTTGCTGAAGGTCACAAAATAGTGTAGAAGATGCAGTAAGTACTCTTTGTACAAAAGTAAAGAAAAAAACATGAACTGACACAAATGAACTCTGACAAAAGTAGAGAGTATGAAGGAAAGTGCCTCCCATAGAGGCAGGGGGAGGGGTGGGGTGGGAATGGCAGGAGGGTACACTGGGGACATTGGTGGTGGAAAATGTGCAACTGCTGGAGGGATGGGTGTTCGCTCATTGCATGACTGAAACTCAACCATGAAGCTTTGTAACTGCATCTCAGGGTGATTCAATAGAAATAAAATGAGCTCTGAGATTAGAAAAACAGTATGGTGATCACCAGAGAGAGAAGAGAATGAGACAGAAAAACAGGGAGGAAGATCCATAAGTGAAGGGAGAGAGCAAGAACCAGAATTTTGATAAGGATCATTATATATCATACACAGATGTGAGTTATAATTGTTAGATGTGAATTGTTACACATGAGCTAAAATTATAAACTGAAGTTATTTCAATCATAGTAAAACTGTCAGGAAGGCTGGAGCAGTAGCACAGAGGGTAGAGCGTTTGCCATGAACTCCCACGAGGCCGACCGGAGTTCGATTCCTCCGCCCCTCTCGGAGAGCCCGGCCAGCTACCAAGAGTTTCTTGCCCACATGGCAAAGCCTGGCAAGCTCCCGGTGACGTATTCGATATGCCAAACACAGTAACAACAAGTCTCACGAGGCAGACTTACTGGGCCCGCTCGAGCAAATCAATGAACAATGGAGGACAGTGCTTTAGTGCTACCGTGTCATGAAGGCTTGTACAGATATCCAAAATAAATATAAAACAAAACAATTCAAAAGGGCATCTTATGCTTTATAGGTAATGTCCTTATAATACAATGAAAACTAAAGTTAATTTCTTAGATATAAACTATTTTATTTTATTGATGATTTTGTTTTTGGGTGGTGCTCAGGGTTCACTCCTGTCAGAGACCATGGTGACCTATGAGGCACAGGTGATCCACGCCCAGAAGGCCACGTGCAAGGCAAGAACCTTACCCACTGAACCCAAGATGTAAAATAATTTAAAATAAAATGCTAAATGTAAAATCGATCCATCAAAACTAAAAGGTGGATAAACTGTCCAAACACTGTCTTCCCGTTGTTCATCAATTTGCTCGAGTGGGCCCAGTAACGTCTCCATTTTGAGACTTGTTGTTACTGTGTTGGGCATATGGGCAAGATATTCTCAGTAGCTTGCAGGACTCTCTGAGAAAGGCAGAGGAATCAAACCCAGCTCGGCCGGGCTGGCTGCGCACAAGGCAAACACCCTACCGCTGTGCTAATGCAGAAAAGTTATAAATCAAAAATCTAGGTGGAAGGGCATTCCCTTTTGTTCTCTCTCTCCTTTTGGGTGTTGTGGTTTGCAAAACAGGGGGGAATGGGGGAATGGGGGACGGGAGGGATACTGGGACCCGTGGTGGTGGAAAATGGGCACTGGTGGAGGGATGGGTATTTGATCATTGTATAATTGAAATCCAAGCACAAAAATTTGTAAGTCTACAACTGTACCTCATGGTGTTTCACTAATAAAAACTAGGAAAAAAAAAGAAATGTAGGTGGAACTCATCAGCCTGCAACCACATAAAACACCACGAGGTGTCGCTGGACTCTCGCTCTGGGGCGAATTGAACTTTCTACAGTGCAAAGTGAATACAGCAAAACACTGCCTAGAAGAACTCTTTAAAAACAAACAAACAAACAAAGCTTTGCCGCTAGGATATGTCAATAAATTATTATTCATCGGCATTTCACAGTAAACTGACAAAATAGGTATAAGTTCATTTGTAACATTACTATAAAAACATGGGGAAATTATGTAGAAGATGTCGTCCACTGGTTCATAGATTTGAGGCAGCAAGCCCAAGGCTGGCTGAGCTGGGCACGTGGACACCAAAAACCCTCTTGAGACAGACCTGCTAGCTGACACTTCTGCCTTCTTTTCTTTCCTTCGTTCAGACCCATGCTCTGTAATAATACAACAACAAACTACTTGTCATCTCAGTAGTTTTCCAGATTATCTCTGGAGAAAGAGAAGACTGAAATCCTCTGCATTTCTTCTTTTAAAAATTAAGTGGTTTGGGAGTGGGTTGTGGGGGGAGCACACCCAGTTCTGCTCAGGACTTTCTCCTAGCTCTATGCTCAGGGGTCACTCCTGGCAGAGCTCAGGGAATTCAAGTCCAGTTTGGTCACATGCAATGCAAGCACCTTATTGGCCTATCTCTTCTCCAGGTTCCCAAACTAAGTTTTAAACCAGAAAGAAATAACCTTAAAATATTAAGTGCTTCTACTATCAATGGTGCTGGGATTATTTAGGAATATTAAAATTGTAGTAGGGGGTATTGTATGAAAGGATAGAAGGTTAGCATTCCCCTTGACAAGGATGGAAGAGGCTTCGGCCTGCAACACACATATAGTTAAGGCACTGCCACCTACTTTGTGGCATCTAACCAATGTTTTTGTGCAGAAAGTAGATAAAGGACCAAACATAATAACCTCTCAGTGTCTATATTGCAAACCATAATGCCCAAAAGTAGAGAGCGAGTATGGGGAATATTGTCTGTCATGGAGGCAGGGGGAGGGTGGGAAAGGGGAGGTGTACCGAGGATATTGGTGGTGGAAATGTGCACTGGTGGAGGGAAGGATGTTTGATCAATGTGTGATTGTAACCAAAACATGAAAGCTTGTAGCTATCTCACAGTGATTCAATTAAAAAAAAAAAAGATTGTAGCAGAGGTTAACACAACTGTTTCCATATATCTGTGCACTGATGTAAATGTCAACCCAGATGCATATATTTATAAAGGGTATTATTTATGTATTAGTGTAGCTGATATAATAATTCACAATTCTATATCTCGCCTGCACGGCAGAGCTTGGCAAGCTCCCCGTGACGTATTCGATATGCCAAACACAGTAACAATAAAAGTCTCCAATGGACACGTTACTGGGCCCGCTCGAGCAAATCGATGAACAACAGGAGGACAGTGACAGTGACAGATATAACTTAACATTGATAAGTAAATGCTCTTTTGTATTTTAATTGAAGGATTTTAAAAAATTAATACAACAGAGGAATAAGCCTAAGATTATCCAAAACCATTTTGAGAAAGAAAAAAAGACAAAGTCTGGGTAACTGCAAACATTTTAAGACATAATGATAGACATAATGATAAAACTATTTAAATGGTATGAAATTATAGTAACAGTGAATAGCAGTGAAACATTAAACAAGACTCCAGAAATAGTTAAAGTATGGTCAAATGATTTCTGGCAAACATTCTAGAGCAATTCAGTTGGAGAGTGGGAGAGACATGACAGGCATAAAGCACATGCCTTGTATGCGGCCAGTCCTGGTTTGGTCCCTGGCACCACATCACTGATCACTGATCTCCCGTTGTTCATTGATTTGCTCGAGCGGGCCCAGTAACATTGTGAGACTTGTTGTTACTGTGTTTGGCATATCGAATATGATACGGGTAGCTTGCCAGGCTCTCCGAGAGGGGCGGAACAATCGAACTCGAGTCGACCGTGTCGGTCGCATGCAAGGCAAATGCCCTAACCACTGTGCTATTGCTCCAGCCCACTACATATGGCCCCTTAAGCACTGATACGAGTAAGTCTTAACATAGAGTCAAGAATGATCCCTGAGAATCACCAGGTGTGACCTCAAACAAAGTCAAGACAAATATTAAAAAGCAAACGGGTATTTTTTCACCAAAAGCACCTGAAACAACTTAATATATTGATAATGAGACTCAGCATTTACCTCATATTACATATAAAAATTACATTTAAAATGGATTAACATAAATGTAAAACCTGGAGTGATAGCATAGTGGGTAGGGCGTTTGCCTTGCACACGGTCAACCTGGGTTTGATTTCTCCATCTCTTTCAGAGAGCCCAGCAAGCTACCAAGAGTATCCTGCCCACACAGAAGAGCCTGGAAAGCTCCCTGTGGCATATTCGATATGCCAAAAAACAGTAACAAGTCTCACAATGAGATGTTACTGATGCCCGCTCAAGCAAATCAATGAACAATGGGAGGACAGTGCTATAGTGCTACAGTAAAAACTGAAGCTGAAAACATGTAGGAAAAATATAGAAGAAAATTATCACTCATAGGCAAAGATTTCTTACACAGGAGAGTAAATGGGCAAGAGAAAAAAAAATGATAAAATGGAGTTGTGGGGGAGACAATCTAAAAGATGAAAATTAAATCACAAATTGGTAAAGTTATTTGCAAATACATATTTGACATCTTCTGACATAGATCTAAAGTATTTAAAAATCAAAAAACATAAAGAATGTTTGTAACTGATACTAAGAAGAAACATAATTAAACAATGAGGAAAATTTTGACAGGTAATTGAAAAGGAGCTTATATAAATTAATGACCCTGACTCTGTGCCCAGCGACCCCATATGGGGACCACAGGGGACATTATGAGGTGCTGGGGATACATCCTGGATCAGCCATGTGTAAGGCAAGAGCCCTACCTGCAGTGGTAGGGGATCTATTTCCTCCCACCCCCTCATCCCCCCATCCCACCCTGCCTCTGTGGCAGGGCACTCCCTTTTGTTCTCTTTTTCCTTTTGGGTGCTGTGGTTTTCAAAAGAGGCATTGAGTGGTAATCATGTTCAGTCTACAGTCTACTTTCAGCATGCATCTCCCATCCTGGGAGGATCTTCCCAGCGCCAAAAAAACATTTATTTTATAAATTAAACCACAACACAGGATGTTTCCATCATATACATCTTGCTAAAACTACATAGACAGGGATGATAGGTGTTACAACAGATAATAAAGAGTTCATCTAAACTTATCATCTATTCTTTAATGTCTGTAGCTTTCATCTTTCCTTAAGTCTTATTAGATTGAGAAGCAGAGAAGGCCTGCATCATCCAAAAGACAAATCATAAGATGGGATAGAATGATCTCTAGTTTTCTACAGCTTGTCCTCTACTGCTACCACGACTCCACAATGTTAAAAGAAAAGAGAGCACTTAACTCATCAAAGTATTGAAAGCACAGACTGGAAGATTTGGTATCATAAAATGCTACTTTTTAGTGTTGCATCCTGAAACCAAATTAACAATTTATTGTAGAGCAAAATAGAAAAAAGAAACATATAAATCATTTTTCTTTCTGATCTTTAAGCCAGTACTTTGTTGGCTTGGCCTTCTATACCATTTAGGTCACTGCAATGCTGAACTAGACTTGAAAGTTAATTTAAAGTCTCACCACTTGCTTTATAACAGAAGCTCCTTTTTAACTCATATTTTTGAAGAATAAATAAATTTCACCATGTCATTAAATGTTTTTTACGTGGGCAATGACATCTCAAAACTGGCCTTGTTCAATGAAGCAATTCTCCCTGTCTAAGTGATGAAAAGTCTAGCTGCAATATTTCCTGCAGGGGGGTGGGGGGAGGTCACAGCAGTGTAGACTCCAGCAGAACTTGTTAAGACAGAGAACTGAACATTCTAGAAGCTTAAGACAAATTAAACAAAAAAGGAAATAATTAGACATTTCATTCAGCTTGTCAAACACACTAGTTTCAGTGGTCAAAAAGACAACACAATGATAGGATGCTTGGCTTGCACACAATCAGGTTTGGAGCCCAGGCAGCTTATATGGTCCCAAGCCCCATCGGGAATGATTTCTGAGCTCAAAGGAAAGAATCATTCCTGAGCACAGTCAGGTGTGGTACAAAAACCAAAGCCCCAAACAAAGCATAAAACACATTGCTTTCAATATCTGTTTTTTCCATCATTTCTCAAATGATTTGGAAAAGTTTCTGGTCAATGAATTAAAAAAATTCTTAAGGAAAAATAGACTACTTACACCACAGGAAAGAATAGCATAATACTGGGCTGAAGAGATAACACAGTGGGTAGGGCATTTGCCTTGCACGCGGCTGACCCGGGTTCGATTCCCAGCATCCCATATGGTCCCCTGAGCACCGCCAGGAATAATTCCTGACACATAAACCAGGAGTAACCCCTGTGCATCGCTGGGTGTGACACCCCCCAAAAAATAATAACATAATATTAAAATTGAATACTCAAGACTATGTTCTTGTGCTTCCAAGTGACTTATCTGCCCTTTTGACTTTAGCAGCTTTACATTATGAATCCATTTATTTTGAATAAAAAGGTACATACAATTGTATGTCTAGCTATACATATAAAGATCTTTCTCAGAAACCAGAATAGAAACCCTAGTTCAGTCATTTACAATCATATTATTATTTACCACCTTGCCCCCACTCTAGAAAAAATCACAGTTGTGAGGAAGATATTTACCCTGTGTAGTGTTTTATACTTAGTTTCTATAATCTCTAATTATGCAAAAAAGAGTCCACTGAGCAGGCTGGTTTGGAAGAGTGACCTTTAGCTGGCATTAGGGAATTCTGGAAATACACAATCTCCTATACTGATACAAATTTTTCTTTGAGTGATAAGAATGATCCATGAAGCACAGACAATTAAAACTGTAAGCTTTGGAAAACTGTATTGTTGGTGCCAGGGAGGCAGTTCAGCAGTCAGAAGCACAGAGCTGGCATGTGCCAGTACCTGAGTTAGAAGGTTGGCACTAGATGGCTTAGGTCTGGAAGCCCGAGTCCCAGAAGTGTTGCCCTAGTGGGCACCCGCCCCCCACCACCACCACACACACACCGACTGAGCGTTACCATATCACCGTAATCATCCAGGCTGGTTGGCCAAGTATCATTGGGGGTTGCCTTGAAGTCCCCAGCCCCCCCAGCCCTACCCCCCCCCCACACACACACACACAAACAATATTGCATGTTAACTGCTTAATTTCTTTTGGGGAATCTGAAGATTTGCTAGTACTTAGGTTGATTTCAGCTTTGTGACAAACCTCTAAAGGTAATTCTGGGTACTTCATTTCTCATGAGCTTCCTAAATTCTCAGTCCTCCAGACATGCTGCCGTAATTTGATGCGAGTTGAATCAAGCACATTCAGTACAACTCCACTGAGATATACACCTTGAACATGTACCTGGTTTGCTGGATTTTGCCCAGTGGGTCTTTTTCTTTTTCCCATCTGACTGCAGTAAATATTGCCCATGGGACAACTGTGCATTGAATTCTTGAGGTACTTAGATGCTAATCACTAAAACTGGGAGTTGGTTAACAGATGTTATGTTAATGTACATAACAACCAAGATACTCACCTGATTTTCCTGCCTGAAGGTAATGCATTACAGTAGCACACACACACACAAAGGAATTCACTAATATGGTAATCAATCCAACACAAAAATCTCATCCTTCCCTAAAACATAACATACTCTTCCTGTGAAAATATGCTTACTACTTACGTGACTGGCCTGTAGATCTCCTTAACACCAATAAACTGAAGTTGTTCCATAATGTCTGGAATACTGGCACATCGAGTAAGGTTAATTCTTGGGTAATAAAGAAGGTACGAAAGACACATTTCATTCCTGGTACTTAGTCCTCCCTGAAAATAGAGATAATTCATTTAAGGGAAGAATATGTTCCACTGTTTCTGACACAAAATAAAACCTACCCATATCTGATAGTGTTTCTAATGTTGAAGTTTAACGTATATTAAAACTAAAAAACTTAAATAACAATTTTGTTTTTAGATAGTTAAAATTTTTAAGAATTATTTCTAACTTTTTAAAAGTTAATTTTTAAAATAACCTAAATAATCTCATTAAAAATTATGCTTCTTAAGAGCAGTAAGAGAAAAAAATAACACATCACATACAGGTAAGACACTAGACTCAATTGAAATTTCATCATAAATGATGGAAGTAACAAAAAGGTACTGGAATTACATACTGAATGATCAAAAGTACAAATAAAGCAAGAATTCTGTATCCAGAAAATCATCTGTCTGAAAAAAGTGAATGTGGAAAATGTACTATATTACTCATGTAATGATTAATCATATGATGTAATGGCCAATATATGATGGTTCACTCATTGCCAAAAATGTAATGTCTTGCACTTTATGAGCAAGGCAGGGATAGGAAATGGGAGAAGTTGATATAAAAATGAGGGGACAAGGATGGCCATTCAAAATTATACCAAATTGTAGGAAGGGAGCTGGACTCTTGGATTCTCTCCTTGGTCGCTGCTTGGTCCTGGAGGAAGCAAAACTTCAAGTGAGGTATTCTCTGCTACAAAGGGCAATGCTCAAAGAGGGACATCCATGAGCTCTGATTATCTGATACTTTTAATAGTTAAGTTTCAGATATGCAGGTCTTGAGTGAAGATATGTAGACAAAGTCAACACATATATTCAGATAGTAATTTATTGTATCTTGAGTAAAAGCTATCCAAACTGTATAACATATAAGGCATGTAAAAAATTAAAGCCAACACAATTCACTGAAAATTCTCTCTGTGCTTATTTTCCATGTTCTTTTTTTAAAAACCATATGCACATTTCCATTAATGTGATTATTATGGGAAATGTTCTCTTCCTCACCTTAACCAGAGTTGATAATTACCTTCTTATATTCCTATTTTATTATTATTCATTCCACTTTACCATCTGTTCACTGACATATATTTTTTTAGAGGTGGAGGGCATGTCTGGCCATGTTCAGGGCTGAATCCTGGTTCTGTGCTCAAAGGATCACTACTGCAGGGACTCAAGGGAGCATATGTGGTGCTGGGCATCAAACCTGGTCACCACAACATCCTACATGCTGTCTGATCTCTCTAGCAGATATATTCTTCTTTTCAAAAAAAAATTTGTTTCGTTTTGCTTTTGGGGTCACATCCTGAGATGCACAGGGGTTACTCCTGGCTCTGCATTCAGGAACTACTCCTGGTGGTGCTAAGAGGACCATATGGGATGCTGGGAATCGAATCCAAGTCGACCGAGTGCAAGGCAAACGTCCTACTCACTGGGCTATCGCTCCAGCCTCTTAGCAGATATACATCCTTAAAGAACAAATTGTTTAACTTCTTTTTTAATTTGTCTAGAAAATGTCATACTATACACTTGCACTTTTCAATAAGCATTATGTTATTCTCAATAATACATGTTAGTGCATTCATTCATTTTCGTAACTATTTACTATTTATTTTTTTGGATGGACCACACCCAATTATGCCTGGGGACTACTCCAAGCTCTGTGTGAGGGACTTTCTGGGAATCATGCCATGCCAAGAATTGAATCAAGGCGGGGAAGCCGAAATGCAATTATGTATGTTATAACGCACTTATGGATTCTTCTTTGATAATTAGTTGAGATGTTCCCAAATTTATTCTTCTGTTTTTACACATTAGTATGAATATTTTATATATTTATCTCATGAAACAATTCCTGTGAAAGTAACCTCGAGGTTAAAACAACATAGACATGGAAATGGGTAGAACTTAACCGAATGCACAGTTTTATTAGAAAATGACATGTTTCCCCATATTGGTATTTTTAATTCAAATCCCTACTAGCAGCATATGAGGGTTCTAAGATAGTACATTGGAATCATAATTTTAAATATTGACAAAGTAGTGAGTTTAAAATACCATATCCAGTTTACACTTTCCTGACCCTGGTTTCAAATGAAATTGAGCAATCTTTTAAATGTTAATTACTTATTTGGTCTTTTGTTCCTGTGAAATAAATTTGTGTTTGCTTTTTTAAAAAAACTAAATTTAGGGGCTGGAGTGATAGTACAGAGTGGGTAGGGCGTTTGCCTTGCACGCGGCCGACCCAGGTTCGGTTCCCAGCATCCCATATGGTCCCTGAGCACCGCCAGAAGTAATTCCTGAGTCATGAGCCAGGAGTAACTGTGCATCGCCAGGTGTGACCCAAAAGGCAAAAAAAAAAAAAAAACCTAAAATTTATCTAATAATTTTTTTAAAAATTTTTGTGTCATACTCAGCAGTGCTGGGAAAAGGTGTGGGCCATTTCTGGCAAAGTTCTGCCTGGCAGGATGGTACTGACAGTTTGGTGCTCAGGGGTCACAAGGGCCACATTCTAAAGTATGATGGAGATCATGTGTGTGCAAAGGACTTTGCACTTGCTAAACATATGTCCTACCATTGGAGCCACATTGCTGGCCTCTATATACTAATGCTTTGGTAATCTACATATTGCAAATGACAATTTACCATTTAAAATGTGTCTCTTCATGTATTAGGGCTTTGACTACAAAAAGATTTAAGAAAGACAAATTCATTGATCTTTCAATGTATATTTTGTGACTTTTATTTTTCCTTAAAGAAATTCTTACACACCACTGTCATAAAAATACACTTATATATTTTTCTCTTAAGGTTTTTATATTTTGCTCTTCACATTCAAATATTTAGTCTAACTAGAATTGGCTGTTATGCTTTGTTCAAGATTAAGAAATTTTGTCTATGTCATCTGGGTACCCAGATGAAAATCTATTCTGTCCTTTCTATCCGAATGACATGTCTATAATAAATTAAGTTTTCCTAGAAAGGATTTCAAGATCTGCTTTTGGGATCTCTATTCTGTACCACTGTTCTAACTCTGAAAAGCAATGCATCTGCAGTAGTTGGCATAGTTGTAAAAAACACCTTTATATTCAAAAGTCTTCTAGTTTATTCTTCTAAGTAATGTCTTGTCTATTCTTAATCTTTTGGTTTTCTTTGCAGTTTTTAAAATCAACCTGGTACACGTAGAAGTTACAACTAATATTTTTAAAATGTTTCAAAGAAAAAAATGTTTGCAGTCATGGTAAAAACTTCTTACTCAAGAAACCACAATTCCCAAATAAAAAACAACACCAAATATTTTACTGGCGTTATATCAAGTTTATAAATCAATTTGGATAAAAGGATTATCTTTATTTTACTGGTCCTTACTATGAATAAATATGGAATCTTAATTTAATATATTTTTGAGGTCTTACAAATATAATTGTATAATTTTCCACAACTATAGCACATATAGTGCTAGATTTTATTTTTATGAAACCAATAATTTTCAATGTTAAAATAATGTTTTGTGAATGAATATAAATTTAATTTTAGATATAAACTTTGAGCATTTTTGATGAAAAATTTATAACAGTTGAGAATAATGTTTTTCATCTTTGCTCTTTTTCTTTATCTTTTTGTCCATGTTTCTTTTCCAGGACAACACTGAATAGGAACAGTCATGGTTATCATCCGTTTTATATTACCTGACATTAAGAAAATTTTTTTAGAGCTTCACTTAATTTGCTATTTCCCATAGGTTTTTCACAGTTACTTCTGTTCTGGTTCAGGCTATTCTTTCCAATTTCCTAGTCTGCTAACTGTTCTTGTTTTCCTCATAACTTAGTAATTGTAGGAATCTTTTTTAATGCTCTGATTAACAATTTCTTATGTATTTGCTAATATAAAACAATTTTAAATTCCTTACATTAAACTCAAATGAATCATAACACTAATTTTTATATAGTGCAGAATTGTAGTTGTCAATACATTGTCAAACCTATTTCTATCTGGTCCATGTTGTTGATTTCTGTAGATCTGTTAGGAAATTTTAGTATTAATATTACGATTATGATATACCCTTAAAATGGCTTGGTTAGAGCTGTGCCTTCTCCTTCTTTTCCCTGGAAAAGACAGTGCAGCATAGGTAAACTGTTACTTGAATATTTGACAAAACTCTTCAGGAAACCTGTAGGAATTACATTTTTCTTGGGTCAGAAGCCCTGAGGTCATGAAATTCACTGTCCCTTTTGAAGTCTTGCTTCATCTCCAGCCAGACTCGAGTAGGCAGTCATTAGTGATGACTAATAGGTCTTTTACTAATAATATTTGGTGAAGAAATCCTAAAAGAATGGAATTGGAGAGAGAGCTCAATGGGCTGAGCGCATGCGTGGCACGGGAAGGCCCACGTTTGACTGGCAGCATTACATTGACCCTAAACACCCAAGCAAGCCCTGAACACAGAGCTGGGTCCTAAACACTGCTAGATGTTGCACTTCCTGGAAAACAACAAACTAAACTAAAAGACTAAAGAGTTATCTAACAAATCATAGGATAGCTCTGATTTTTACTTTTATGAGTTTTCACACTTGAGACATTTAGGTATTTAGCTGCTGGTGGATATATTTTTAGTTGTTTACTCCTAAAATCGAAAATTATTCCTCACTATCCACAAATGAATATCAATAATAACAACATTTTTCTTACCCATGTCATCCGGGCTCTATCTTTAGTGTTGTAACGACATTCAGTTATCAGATTATCTCCCTGAAATAAAAGGAAAAGTATTCAATTTGGGGTACTATGTTGTGTTATTTGTTCAATGCTCTTGTAAGTTAACACTTAATTCCCTATATGAATGATCACATTCGTTAATTTTATTCAGGAGAAGACTTTTGAACTAGTAAATAGATCAAATTCAAAAATTATTAATATAATAAGCAATCAAACAAACTAAAGGTGCTGGGTTCAGGCCAGACTCAACATGTGCTAGCTGTATGACCTTAGGTAAGGAAATGAATCATCTGGACACAATTGTTCATATAAAAACAAAAGTAATAAAGATAGCACTTATTGTGCACAGATGTGAGGAAATTAAATGACACAATATACTTCTAGTCTTTACAGTAAGATAGACACTTCATAAATATCAGCAATAGATACTAGCTTCTATGTTACCTTTGTTTCTATTATTTCATTTAAAGACCTGTTTATAAATGATTATTTTACTAAATTATAAAAGAAGTGTGATTAATAGCAACTTACTATCCTAGAATTGTCTACGCTTTTGAAAAATTCAACACACATAGAAAATAATATTTTTATGGATCCCTATTACTGTGAAATGGCAAGTGCTATATTCATTAACTAGAGGCGGTGGCTATCTCTGGCTTCTGATCCCTGAATTTGATCTCCCTACCATGTTACTTGGGCTGGAGTGATAGCACAGTGGTAGGACGTTTGCCCTGCACGCGGCCAACTTGGCCGACCTGAGTTTGATTCCTCCACCCCTCCCAGAGAGCCCTGCAAGCTACCGAGAGTATCTTGCCTGCACGGTAAAGCCTGGCAAGCTACCCGTGGGGTATTTGATATGCCAAACACAGTAACAACAAGTCTCACAACAGAGATGTTACTGGGCCCGCTCAAGCAAATGGATGAACAGTGGGAGGACAGTGCTACAGTGCTACCATGTTACTACCATGTTAGAGGAAATAGGTATCAGTATCTCAACACACTTAAACACACCTAGAACTTATTCATTTTGCACACCAGTTGGACAGTGCTGAGAGAGCGTAATTAGTTGGAAAATCCTCAAACTGTACCATGAAATGAGTGTGGCCTTTAAAAATATAGATAAGATTATTGCTTCTCAAACCTAAACTTTCTATACTCAGGATAATCACATTATTTTTGTTCAAAGAAAAAAACATTGCTGTAGAAGTTCTAAAATAATATAAGAATCTGCCATTTATGATGGAGTAAGGATATAGGGAATTATGTTACTATTGAACTTGATAGTCATACAATAAAATTAATTAGTAAAATAGGCATTGTCTGTTTTAAGCCTCTATGATTATAAGGCATAAAATATATATATATATCTTTATCTTATATCTATATCTTTCCACCATAATCTCAAGTATTAAACGGCATAGTATATACTTAGTATGCTTTGTCAAGTGAATGTATTATCATTATATTCATTGTCATAGAAACCAAACTTCCAAAAAAAGCTTCTATGACATAAGGAAAGCGCTGATTTTATCATTATCAGGGCAAACCAAAGCACTGTTAAGTGGTTAGTTGAGTAAGAAAACAAGTTATGTTTAGTGCTCTGAGCCCAATTTTTTATTTGCTTTTAAAATCAATATCTTGAGTTTCCCCCTAGGGATAACAAGAAAAATGAGTTTGGATTTTGGAAAATAGATCAAACACATTCCATCTGGGCTGTGGAACACCCAAGGCGGATGGTGTTACAAATATGGATATGATCAGCAGTTCACTTAGCTAGTAGAAAACTTGTTAAATCTCGGCAGAGATGTCTTTGCGCTTCTATAAAATTTGGTGAAAGAAAGAACAAAGCATTCATACTGGTAGGATAGTTTTTTCTTCTTGTAGATACTGAAACTCCTGAAAATTGAAGTCAAAATCATCATCATAAGCAAGTAATTTCATTTCCTCTCCTTTGCGAAAGTGACGCAGCTTGATTCCTCTGCCAGCCAGGTGAGCATGGAGAAGAACAGCAAACACATGGATTCCACTTGGCTTTTCAGCTTCCAGTGCCTACGGGGACACAGAGGAAAACTCAATTAGCTCCAACAAATACATGTTCAGACAGTTCATGTCAAAACAGCCTTGGAGGGACAACTGAGAAGAAAAGCTTAAGCAATTTAAGTGAATGCATGAGCTGCCAAACATTTTGAATTTGAATTTTTTCTTATTTCTTAACAGTGTTATCCTTGTCAAGCCACATTTGCCTGGAGAGAAGAAATTAATGCTTACTGAGGACCTACTACACAATGACTAAATGTTACCTTTCATTTTCTTCTTTTATTTTCCCTTCTCTCCCTCACCTTGATCTTCTTTTAAAGAGAAACTCAAATGTCCTATAAAGAGATTCTAGTATGATAGTACCTGATAGTACCCTTAATCAAAATTCTAAGATGAGGACATTATAATACTTTTTCAGTTAAAAAAATCAATGCGCATAAATGGAAATAAATTAATTTCCCATGGTCCTACAATTAATAAATAATTGCAGCAATTCGATTCATGATCTGAATAAGAAAGAAAAAGCAAAATCTTTCCACTTCACCAACTACTATACAGTTCACAGCATAAAAGCATAAAGAATATTTGGAAAAACTCTCATAAGAGGAAAAAACTATAAAAACTTATGTTTGATTTTTTTCTTTTTTAAATACATAATCTTGTATGTTATTCTTGCTTTCTGGAATAACAGAAAGTAATTACAGAGCTTTTCAGATTAAAGGAAGCCAATAATAAAGGCAAAAAGAACTTTTAATAACCAATAAAAAGTTAAAAAAGTGAATAAAAGATAAAATATACAGGAAGAAGCACTAGACAAAAGTAAAGGCCCTCCCGTTGATTGTCGATTTGCTCGAGCGGGCCCAGAAACGTCTCCATTGGAGACTTTGTTGTTACTGTGTCTGGCATATCGAATACTCTCGGTAGCTTGCCGGGCTCTCCGAGAGGGGCGGAGGAATCGAACTCGGGTCGGCCATGTTGGCCGCTTGTAAGTCGAACGCCCTACCCGCTGTGCTATCGCTCCAGCCCTGACAAAAGTAGAAACTGTAAAAATTATAGCATCCAATCTGAAAAATAAAGGCAGGAAAAGGAAGAAACTTGTCTTTAGAATTCTATTCTGATGGTCCTCAAGATTTAAAAAGAGCATTCAAGTTGTTGCTAAAAACATACATCATGATTTTTGAAGTTTGACAGAAATAAATCATGATTTTTTTTTTAAATCATGGGATATTTTAGAAAATAGTGTTCTGAAAGTATAGTTTAATCTCTAAATTGCAGCCCCTTGATTTAGATGCAGCATACCTCATCCAGGCATTCCAGGGTGCAGTGACCCTCCGAAAAAAACTCAGGCATTCCGGGAGGAATGGTATGAAAGAGGCTAACCCAAAGGCCGGCTTCAATCACCCCAGCATCGTAATTCCTTATATTTGTTGTATGAAATAACCTCAGTCCAGAATTATCTATTAAACCTAGAATAGGAATACATAATTAAAAGTGAATTAGAGCTATTTATTTTTTAAAGCTCTCCATATTCAACTGAGAGGATTTATTAATTTTCCTTAAATCTCACAAGGGGAAAGAAGAGGAGAAAAGATTAAATAAGGACAACATTCAACTTTACAGGCAAGAATGAAAAGACCAGATGCGATTTTATCAGCAACCATTTTTGACTCACTCAGCCTACTGTGAAATGATTAAGTCATCCAGCTGATATATTGCATAATTTTCTAACATAAAGACAGAATGAAAAGTTTAAACCCATTTGTTATAAAACAAAAACATAAGATGGTTTTGTTTCATATGTTTTGGAAGTCAGGTTCATTACCATTTCATAGAGGCAAGACTCCCTCCGTCTAGAAACCAATGCTGCTAAGAAACTACTAATTATTGACTTTCTATACGGGTAGTTTTTATGTTTTTATATGTATGTGACTCATTATATGTATAGTTTATATGTTATTTTACCGTCTTATCTTTCTTAATGGGCTGGAGCAATAGAACAGTAGGTAGGGCATTTGCCTTGCACGCAGCCAACCTGGCCGACCAGAGTTCAATTCCTCCGCCCCTCTCGGAGAGCCTGGCAAGCTACCCAGAGTATCTCACCTGCACGGCAAAGCCTGGCAAGCTACCCATTATGTATTTGATATGCCAAACACAGTAACAACAAGTCTCAAAATGCAGATGTTATTATAAGGCCCACTCGAGCTAACTGATGAACAACAGGGAGGACAGTGTTGAGAGTTCTTTAAAGAATCACTTACAGGCGATTTAATCAACCAGCATAAAGATTTTATTATGTGAAGAGAACTGCATTAGGCATTGTGATTGTGGGGAGATGAATAAGACATACTCCTTGCTATGACCTAGTTATAAGGAGTAAAATTTGAGTTCTGAGAACTTAACAAATCCATTCCTCTAAATGCAATAAACTGAGAGCCTTTGTAGGAAGACTTAGCTACTTGTGGCTCCCAAATTGATCCTCAGATAAATTAGCATATAATGAGTACTAAGTATTATGATATTGATTGCATTACTACCTATATCATAATGATGTATTGTGAATTTTTGTGATTGTATTGTTACTTCTTCCTACACTACAATTTTTTGTCTGTTTCTTGGTAATATTATATCATCAACAACAGACTTAGCATATAGTTCTTTCTCAATATTTTCAGAAGTATATATATTGATGTAAAATAAGTTATTTCTGTTTATAATTCCATATGGAATATTTCAATATATTGGTTTTGAAATATTATTTAAACAAATTCAATAATCAAATGTAGGTATTTATACTTCATTTTAACATAACATTATATCATATCATAGCCTGAATAATTTTTAGGATATTATATTTAGTATATTTATAGTATATTTAATACATATATTTATATGTGTTATTTAAATATAGTATATTTAACACATATATTTAGTATATATACCAACATAGAAAACTGCTTTTTATGTGCTGTTGTGATTAATTCTGCTTTTTCACGTGAGGTCAGAAAACATTTCAAAAGTCCAATGTATTTTGGACTAATTTATATCAGAAAGGGGAAAAACACTTATTTATTGGTTACTCTGTAAATATTTTGCAAAGGTTTGTTTCAGGATTAGTGACCACATATACCCATTTGCCCGCTTCAAGTGCTGGATAATTCCTGCTGCCCAGTATAACTATAATTAACCACCTCTTCTACTCTAAGTACTTTACACAGTCACTCAAAGGTTTCTTATTAGGATAAAAGTTTTGTTACTTAGTTTTAAGATTGGATAGTACTTTATTTTAACTCTATAAAAACAGGAGTTGTATAATGTCAACAACTAATTACAGGAGTGACCAGAGAGAGATGATAGGTTAAGGCACTCTCCCTCATGTTCAGTTCGATTCCCAGCACATGGTCTTCCAAGCACAGACCTGGGGGTATCCCCCATGTACATCCAGGTATGACCTGTATGACCCAAACTCCCCCTCCAAATAAAATCATAGATAGACTATATGAAGAACAAACTCACCTTCTATATTTGTTGGATTGTCGTAATGGACTTCCAGGAGAACAAAGTGAGGGTCTAATGGAGTGCCAAGAGATAATCCAACATGAGGTGGATAGGAAAAACCCTAAATAAATAAAATTCTATGAGACAATATTCTGAGGAAGTTTATTTTTTGCTCTCAATATATAACTTTATTTTATATTTTGGCTAACTGATTCCATTAAGACCTATTTTCCTTTTAAAACTTTTGATTGATAATATGTGGTTTATTAATGCTATTGGTAAATGTTTCTCATGCATTAATTCGAATACCACACATATCAACAGTATACCACCTCCCTCTCCCAAGACCCTAAATTCCCTTCACTACCAACCATCCCCAAGAACCACCCCCTGAACTCAGTTGTGTGGACTGGTTCTCCCATTATGTTACCTTTGGGCTTTTGTTGCTACCATGCTGTATATCTTTAAGTGCCATATATGAAAGAGATAATTCTGTATCTATTCTTTTCTTTCTAACTAACTTTACTCAGCATAATATCCTCTAGTTCCATCCATGTTGCTGAAAATTGCATGATTTTGTTCTTTGTTAGAGCTGCACTGTATCATCATACCACAACCTCTTGATCCATTCATCTTAGTTGTGTGTTTAGGTTGTTTCTATATTTTGCCTCTTGTACTAAGTGTAGCATGAATATAGGTGCACATGTGACATTTTGAATTAATGTTTTTGTGTTTTGAGGGGACAGATGCTAAGAATTCATATCTCTGGATTGTATGATAGTTCTATTCTGATTTTTGGGATAGACTTTTGCTTTTCAAAAAGGCTAAACCAGATGACATTTCCACCAATAGTGGATGAGGGTTCCATTCTCACAACAAACCCACTAATTTTGATTATTTCTGGACTTTTGGATATGTGCCATTCTCACAGGCATGGTTTGATATTTGACATTTACCTAAAAAAAATCATGTTCAAAGTAAAATTTAGCAGCATACAAACTCTACTAATCTCTAATTGCTAAAAATCAAATTGTTTAAGAACAAAGTATTTCCTATGTTGCTTCCACATTAAAAACAGAGAATAGAGTTTTGTAGTATAACTAGTGTATTTCCACTGTATTATTATTATTGTAAAAAAAACACAGTCAATTAATTGTGGAATTCATAATATCAGTAATATCAGGCCTACCTCTCCACCGATGGCCCAGGCAAAGATAACAGTCTCACAGGTTAGGAAAGCATCAGGCATGTTAGGGTGGTAGCACTCATGGCCATAGTCCAGGACGCTGTCATTAAAGTTGCTGCTGCACTGATAAAGCAGGATGTGATGGACCAGACTCTCATGGCCTTTCTGTATCACTGGTTCAACCTAAAAAAAATGAGAGGAAGTATACAATAAATAAAACTATCTACAACTTTCCAATAGCATGAAAATTGCATGAATGATCCTCCATTTCTCGAAGAGAATATTCTTGTCAATTATGTAAAGGTGTTTGGTTCAAGAATAATTTTTCCTGGAGGTAATGACAATGATAATGAGAAAACAATGATAATAATAAATGAAAAAAGTAATTACTCCAAGAATCATAGGACTTTAATTATCTATCTGATTTCATTCATTTTTATTTTCCTTACTATTCACTATAACAGATACTTTAGAACTTGTTTTCTCTTTCAGCACTTACCTTGCCTAATAAATTCTAAATAAGGTAAACACATCCTAATATCCCAGAGACTCTTAAATCCATAGAAAATGTAGACCCTTTGTTTACTAAGCCCAGTGGAACTACAGTGTTATTATCACCAGTTACAGGGCTCTTTGAGTTTTTTGTTCATCTTAAGAAAATGCCTTATGATAGGGGAGATATTATAATAAATGCCTGAGAAATGCAAAAGATTAGAAGAAGTTACTATGGACAATTTCATGCCACCAAGATTGAGAACCTAAAAGAAATGAATTATTTCTTAGAATAAAAAAAACTCCCAATATTATACCAAGAGGATACTGAAAATATGACCAAAGGAATCTCAAGTAAATTGAAACAATAATTTAAAATCACCCTGAAAACAAAAGCTCAGTTCCAGCTAGGCTCACTAGCAATTTCTATAAAACTTCAAAGACGATCTTAGTGTTCATATTTCTTAAATTCTTCCAAAATCTCAATAAAACAGGTATTCTCCTTCATAGTTTAATATCAAAACCAAAAAGAGACATTACTAAAAAATAAAACTATAGACCAACATCCCTGATGAACACTTGCACAATGATATTCAACAAAATTATAGGGAAAAGAATCCATAAATGTGTCAAAAGGATTTTACATCAAGATTGAGTGAGGTTCCTTGTAGGGTTGTAATAATGATTTATGCAAATAAATTAATGCAATAATACAGCATATAAACAAAAGGAATTCTAAACATCACCTGACTATATCAAATTATTCAGAGAATACTTTTGAGAAGATTCCACATCACTCATGATAAAAAAAGCTCTATTAAAAAATCAGGATAGAAGGAACATATCTCAACATAGTAATAGCCATCTATAACAAACTCATAGCCAACATCGAATTCAGCGTTGAAAAACTGAAAACACTTTCCTTGAGATCAGACATAAGGCAAGAAAGTGAACTTCTTATTCAACACAGTTTTGTCTTTGTCACAGCAGTAAGGAAAAGATATCAAGGGAATCCAAATTTCAAATCAAACAATAACTATTTCAAGACATAATAATATACATTGAGAACCCTAAATATTCCAATATCTCACACACACACACACACACAACTGCTAAAAACAGTAAACAATATGGTACTGGGTTACAAAATTATTACTCAAAAGTCTGAGTAATTTCCATGTGTAAATAATGATCTAGAAAAAAAGAGAAGTTAAAAAGAAAATTCCCATTCAAAGTGGCAATCAGAAATGTCACATACCTAGGAATCAAGTTAACAAGGAAATTAAATACTTATTAGTGAAAACTATAAATCACAGCTAAAAGAAACAGAAGAGGATACAATAACATGGAAAGATATTTGATGTTCATGTATTGGAATACTCAACATTGTCAAATAACTTTCTTACCCAAAGCGTTATGCAGATTCAATGCCATACCTATTAAAATTCCATTGACATTCCCTGGACACTTGGGACAAACTCTACTAAAATTTTGTGGAACCACAAAACTCCCAGGAGAGTCAAAGAAATTGTCAGCAAATAAAAAGATAGTGAGAGGTATCACATTTCAGAACTTTGAATTGTACTACAAAGCTGTACCAATCACAACTGCACAGTACTAGATAAAGACAGACTCACAGAATGGAACAGATTTAAGAATCCAGAGGTAACCCCTCAGATTTATGGGTAGTTAATGCATGACAAAGTAGTTTTGTACATGAGGAGGAACATAGAAATTCTCTTCAACAAATGGTGCTGAAAAAAACTGGAGAGCAACATGTAAAAAATTAAATTGGAACTGTACCTCATGCCATACACAAAAGTAAATTCCAGACAGATTAAATACCTGGAGATTAGACCAGAATTAGTAAAGAACATTGAAGAAAATATATGAAGAACTTTCCAAGAAATGAACCTCAGAAGTTTCTTCAATAAGATAACCAGAGAGGTAAAGACAATAAAAACAAAAGGAAAGGGAAAAAAATAGAACAGCATCAAATTAAAATTTCTATGGGACCTTCTGTCTGCTTCTCTGCCTCCCAGCAATAACTGATCCCAAAGTGAAGGCAGACCTATCTCCCACATTCCACAGCCCCTGGTTTGGACAGATTTTAGCAGCCTCCACAACCAACCTATTCCACATACACAGGCCTGCTCAACAGCTTCTAAAGTGCACAGACATGATTCCATTTCTTTAAATTTTGGCAGAGATCGTTGTATCACACTGTATCACTGTATCACTGTTATCCTGTTATTCATTGATTTACTCAAGCAGGCACCGGTAACGTCTCCATTTGTCCCAGCCCTGAGATTTTAGCAACCTCTCCTTACTCGTCTTTCCCAACACTTCATCAGTATGGGAGACACTTTGAAGTTCAGGGGAATGAGGCCTGTTATTGTTACTGTTTTTGGCATATTGAATACACCATGGGGAGTTTGCCAGGCTCTGCCATGCAGGCAGGATACTCTCGGTAGCTAGCTGGGCTCTCCAAGAGGCATATATATATGCCTCTTTCTCTCTCTCTCTCTCTCTCTATATATATATATATATATATATATTCTCTCTACATATATATACTCTCTCTATATATATATATATTTACATATATATACACTGGATAGGGAGTGTCTTTTGATGTGTCACATGGCCGCTTTTGCACTGTGCGGTCCAGGAATATGTTCCTCATATGTGAGGCTCGGCCCGAACATGTGGAAAGCGGCCTGGAGCATGCCCGCAGTTGGGTAGTGGAGGTCGGCTGCCGGGACTGGGTCCCTTGGGGTGGGGAGGGCTCTCACCCATTCCCCTCGAAAGCGCCCTGAGGTAAAAATAGCCTGGCACAGAGTCTGGTGGCATGGTTATGGGGGCCTCATTTTATGGCTGCCAGGACTGGGTCCCTTGGGGAGGGGAGGGCTCTCATACACTCCCCTCCAGGGCACCCCAAGATGAAAACAGCCTGTTGAAGGGTCCAGTGGCATGCTTATGGGGGCCTCATTTTATGCTCCCTTCAAGGAGAGATAGTAATGAGAAATAAATGTGTTATATGCATACCAAAGGAGTAGACTTGGGGATGGGAGGAAGCCTGGGGACATTGGTGAGGGAGACCCTGCTGGTGGGGTAGGTGTTGGAACATATGCCTGATTTAACTCTATTATGAACAACTTTGTAAATCAATGGTATCTTAATGAAAATTAAAAGAGGAAAAGACTATTATTTAATATTTTTCAAAATAATTTTCAAAGTATAGATGCAATTAACAGATTTTGGCTTTAATACCTTTGATCACAGACTTCTTTGTGATCTAGGTTATTGTATTCCTAGATTCTAAAACATTTTTCTTTTACTCTCAATCTGTTCAGTTTAGATCTGAACAGGTATTTCCAGAAACACAAGTTATTATAGAATACAATAGATATATTTTAAGGACCTGGAAAATAATAATTTTAGAGTACCCCTTAAATACTGATGAATAATAAACTAGGAGATCACTCCAAATAAGACACACCTACCTTGTATGACAGAAATTCTAATATCCCTATTCCTGATATATAACTGATGTACAGAAAAATGTATGCATGATTACTTTGCTTTAAGTCTATTAAAATCCAAAAGTCTATGCCTAAATTGAAAGTAAATACATCTTTTATAAACTAAAAAGAATTATCGAATCTTTTTTCAATCACCTGAATAAAAAATCAAGATACTAAAGGGAAAAAAAGCTTCTTCACAGCAAAAGAAAATCAACTCCCCCCCAAAAAAAACCTAATGGAAGAAACTATCACACACTGCATATGAAAAAAAGATAATACCCAAGACTTATAAAGAACTCCTAAATCTGAACAACAAAAACTCAATCCCATCCAGAAATGGGAGAGAAAATAGATATTTTCCCAAAGAAGACATTCTAACGGCCAATAGGCATATGAGAAGTATTTGTTATTATTAATTACTTATGTTAGGGAAATGCAAATCAAAATAACAATGAGATATCACACACTAGTAAAAATGGCATATATGAAAATGCTTGGAAACATATGTGTTGGCAGCATTGCAATGAGAAAGGAACCTTCAATTCTGTTGGTGACTATGACATCTGGTTCGACCTCTATGGAAAGCAATAAGGAGATCTCTCAAAAATATGACTAGAATTCCCCTAAGATACAGTGACACCACTTCTTGGCATATACCAAATCACAAAGTTACAAAACATAGAACAAAATCACAAATGTATTAATGATCACATCTATGTTCACTGCTCATCTACTACAATAGCCAAGATATGGAAACAACTCAAATACCCAAGTACAGACAAATGTATCACTAGTACCTCCTCTGAAGACAGCTTCAGTTGAAAAGACTCATTATGAAAACAGCTGAATATTGTCATATTTCAAAATCCTCATGATTTAAAAATCTTAAGAACCAATTACCTAAACAGTAACAATAGTTCTAAGAAATATTTTTGCTTAAGTCCCTTGTATTGCTTTGTAAAGAGTCATCTCTCCTGCAGATCTGGAACATCAAAATGTAAATATTTAGAAATCGAGTGTTTGCAGACCTTTGCAAAATGTAATCAGTTCAGAAGAGACTGTGCTAGCTTAACATGGATCCTCTATCCAATGACTATTGTATTTCATAAATAAAAAGAGGAGGTATATTCAGACTCTAACATACACAAATCATGCAAAGACAGA